TATAACATAAATTAAAGTTAATTAGCGTAAACAGTTTATTACATGAACATAGGCCTAATTAGTAATCAAGATCTACTGTGTGTGTGCAGTCGCTTGTATGATAATCTGATCTAAACACAATACCTTTATTTTAGTGGGGTTTTTTTTTCATTTTGGAAGCTTAACAACAATAATTTAGGGCAAAAAATGGCTACCGTATCCGAAAACACCATTCCTCTATACCCAGGCCCAATGTCTGTTTTCAAAATGACCTACAGAGAATGAATGAAAATAAATGGGGGAAAAATAATGCCACCCTAGCTTAGCCTACTGCACTAAATTCTGATATTAATCGTATATGTTGAGTATTTATTGGCGGTCACTGTATTTTATTATGAATTGGACTACAAATAGTAGGCCTATTGTACACTTATTTTTGATATAGGCCTACCATAATATATTTTAAATGCAAGGTTATTCCCAACTATTATATCGGAACAAATTATAGACAATAAATCAATGGATAGAAAAAGCGATTTAAAGAATGAAATAATGATAATATGTGAAGAGATCGTAATTCAGTAAATATCCCATAGCCCATTGAGTACAGGACCAGAGTCCAGCGTCTAACTTTTACTTTGTAGAGTATGTCAAAACCACAGGCCATAAACTTCCAGCCGGCGATGCAGTACACTGCAAGGAAGACGTTCCAAGTCCACTTGATACGCCGTGGCGTATCAACAATTGAAAACTACTTTTATACATTACCAGTGTGTTTTATAAATGAAATTAAAATCCCTGTAGTAAAATAACATAGTCATTTGGTACATTCAAGCGTTTAAAAACGATATAATGATTATACATTTTAAATTTAATTATTTTGAAAAATTATTATAAAATTACTAACCCATATGGAATGGTAGAGTCCATGGTTAATCAACGATGCAACAAAACATGTGCTTCGCTGTTTAAAAAGGGGTGAAAGCAATACATTGAACAGCAATCTAGAAAAAACACGGAGAAAACAATATTTCACAGTATACAATACACAATACAATACATTTTTTAAAGAGCCTTGTAATCAAATATAATAAATATATTCTTTTACACTAAACTTCGAGATTATTCAACATTAAAATAGAATAGAGTCTAGGTTTCTGCCGCATCAAAACATGTGTTTCATCGGTAGAAAAGGGTGAGAGCAGTGCATGTAACTGCTATCTGGAGATTGTTTTTGCTTTTTTTGAAACGTTTCTCGTCACATACAATGGATATACTGTTCCACCAAAGTTCCAGATTAATCAATATTAAAATAGATAACATATAGGCCTAGGACAACTGCTCACATTTATATCAGATAAAGGTACGTTGTATGAAGTTCAATATTTTTTTTTTGCATTTCGCTGAAGGAAGTGTACCCTATCTAAGTTCATGATCGAATGTAGGCCTACTGTAGTAGACCGATATCTGTCTGTCGTCCAAGACAGTTTTATTTAATAATCTTAATTAATACTAAAACGATATAAGAAGTGATAATTTTAAAGACTAACTGTAAAAAAGATATAATTAGGCCTAACAAAAATTCATAAAAATTGCCTGTTTTCGATTTTTAATTTTACTCCGTAATTTTTCTGAGCAGGCCATAGCCTAGGCCTATCCATGGAGGTATAATGTCCTAGGTAGGCCTCTCCTAGTTTTCTGCTGTCTGTTGGTTTTGATCGTAACGGTGACGATAATCTCGATAAATTATTAATGTAATTCTCATAAATATAACGTGAACCTGCGTTACTTCCAATAGGGTTTATTTTTATACGTTTTTGTTTGTGTTAATTGGGTTTTTACACTAAGCCTGTTATCAATTCCCCACTACGAAGTGGAGTAGCCCAGGAAAATAACCCCAACGCGTGGCCAACTATGGGATTAAACTGCCCTTAATCGCATCGCGTGGTCCACTCGTATACGCGTTGCTTTATTTTGCGAGGCTCCCTACACGCCTCCAAAGCGCTTCACTGATTTACTATAATAATTACATTACATTGCGTGACACATACATCTCTAATAATTCTCTGAAATTCAAGATTAAATAATTTTGATAGGCTACTCACTCTGTATACACCTAAAAGAGTTTAACATACACCCATTTATATATTTTAAAAAATGGCCGATTGCGATTTTTTTTCCGTACGAAACATTTGCGTGAAACTCTATTCGGCTGCCTCGACTGACTCGACTCGAAAATCTCAATTCTGGAGGTCAAAAGGTCATCAACCAAAAATAAACGTCTACAAAACTTCTGAGATGCAGCATTGTCGCTTGCTGTCTGATTTTGAAGAACACATTGACTTTGAGATAGTATAATACATACTCCAAGTATCGAAATGCACGCCATCTTGTCAGGATTCCATATTTTGACATTAATTATGTCATCATCAGGAATGAAAAATTATCCATATTTGCAAGCTTATGCACAAGTACCAAGTGTTTGACCAATCAAAATATTTAGTAGATGACATAGTTATGAATAAACTAAAAGATCAAAGCATCCTTACCCTTCTGATCAAAGTTACCTACAAACACGCAGAGAGCTCCTTTGAAGCTTTCAGCCCATTATTAAGCAATTGAGTTGTCATGCTAATAACTGATGGGTCGTTTAAAATGACAAATTTAATATTTGATTTAGCTGCACGAATAATAAAATTGTTATTTGAACTTGAGTTACATAGGAACATTTTTGTTTTTTAGTTGGCCTAGTTTTTGGATAATTATAAGTACCAGGCCTAGAACTACTAAAAATTATGCATAGGCAGGGAATTTGGATTGGTCATGTACAATATGTGATCACTACTCAAAAAAGTTTTAGAAGGCGGCTTTCAGAGGAAAGCACAAAGAGGAAGGAAAAGAACAGCATTTAATTGATCAAATAAAACAGGATGCCAGTTAATTTGACATTAAAAGAAAAGCTGGGAATAGACAGCTCTAAAATAAGGATGACACCATAGGAACCTGTAAAAAAAAAATGAGCACCAATGAATGAACGAAGCCCAGTTCTGAATTATAGGCCTAGTAAATAGTATTGTACTGTAAGTGCTTCTTGATTACAAGGCTTAAGCCAAGTTAATTAATGGCGAAATTATATATTTTTATTTAATTATTATTATTTAATTATTATTATTATTATTATTATTATTATTTTTATTATTATTTATTTTTATTATTATTTATTATTATTAATCGTTATTATTATTATTATTATTATTATTATTATTATTATTATTTAATATCAATTACATTACAAGGTTTAGGCCAAGTTCATAAATGCCGGAATGATATATTTAATTTTATTATTTATTAATATTTTTCTTACGCACTGTCCCATTTTTAATTTTATGTTTCAAATTTGTTTCAATTTTTTTTTTATTTCAGTCAATGTCATGTGAGCGTGAGCGTTGTGTCAGGCCCTGGACCCTAGCTTAGCTAGGGGCATATCTAGGGAGGGCCTATCATAGGTAGGACCTAAACCTGTAATTAGGCTTAGGTTAGCCTCTTTCAAGCTCTAGCCTTAATTGATAGTACATATAGGGCCTACTACTGGTGGTGGTGGTACTAACTGTTGTTGTTGTAGGTACAGTAGTATTACATTTGATAACAAACATACAAGAAGCTCCCAGTTAGTTGCAGACGTATAAACTTAGATTTAATAGGCCTATCGTAGCTAAACAAAGAACAATATACTCGAGCGTCACGACATTGTGAAGCGCCTGCTCTTAACGAACTCAACTCAACTCATTATCGTTATATAGTAAAATAATTACAAATAATAATAAATTAAGAACAATAAATATTACCAATAGTAATGTATAACAGAATTATAAATGTTTTAAGTTTTTATTCAACTAAAGAGGACTAGAATAATGCAGGTTTGAAACAAGATATACCACTTTTGAAATATTAATCCAATAGTAACAACCTGTGTTATGTTCCTTTACAGATAATTTCAACACTTCAGCATCCTGTGTATATAAAGAAAAATCAAAATAATATGTTAATAAAATTATCAATGTTTTAATTCAAACTATCTAAAAAATAATTCTGCTAATCGCCTCATCGTAACTTCACTTGTCTCCTCTGAAACCGTTGGCAGGAATGTGCTCATATCTCATACACTCGGGTTTCTATATGTGAGGACCGCATTCCGCTATTTTTTTTAGGCTAACAACGAACAAAACAGCAAAAAACCACCGAAAATCGCATACTTCACATAAATACAGTGTGACTACTGTGGCAAATTAAATTATGCCATTGGCTGGGACTGAAATTATGCTGCAATGCTACGCTTTAAATAGTGGATGTATATAACAAACAATTTTTAAATTAGATACATTTTCATATTCATTTGCCAAATAATGCCAGATCATGTATTAGACCATTTAATTGTTCGTAAATATTTATATCATAGGCCTACATTCTCTGATTTTTATCGTTTTATCTTTTATTTATTTTTACTTTGTATAGTTAAATATATATGTTATATTTCCCACCACACATAGGCCTATCTATTACAGCCATTCGATCATAGTCCTCTTTTAATCATTTAGGCCTATATCATTGATTCCGACCACGGAGGCATGTAATTTGCTCAACATGGTACTTAAAGTATACTCTTCACATTTAATTATAATAATATAGCCAGATTGTCATCTTTTACTTCAGACACTTCTACGCTGAGGAAGGCAGCAGGTGCTACTGAAAATTTTGTTTAATAAATGTATGTCTCAAATTATGTCAGTAGGATGCTCCACTTGGCCTCGTTTTGGCTACGATAGTTTAATAATTTGTATTACCATTACTTCTGTCTCTTATACACATCTAGATGTGTATAAGAGACAGTATATATAGTTACCTCAGTTGAAGATACAGGTACATTTGCCGTAGTTGATGTAGGATGAGATAGTTTCCTTTTTTTCCTTACATTGCCTTTTGATTTCTTTTTGGATTTTTGTTTCATAAGAAAATACTCTATAAAAAATATCAAATTTTCAAACAGTTATTATATAAACCACTAAAGAGAAGAAAGTAAATGCGACAACAATTAAAAACATATTCAATGTCATACCGTGAATTGCTTTCGCAGTAGCAGTAGCAGTTGAAATGGTGCCATTTACTCTTTCAATTCTCTCATTCAACCTATAAATATATATACATGCTAGGTATTACACATAATTAAAATATCGAAACTAAAATATTATAATTAGGTAGGTATATTTTCTCTAAATCATGACAATTGACATTTTCATCCATAAGCACATGAAGATGCTAAACAAATCATTCTGCATTAAACACTGTGAACTATTAAATACATAAAAAAAAAACAATTGTATGAAAGCAAATCAATGAAATTGAAATTACGAAATAAAACTTGAAAACTTATCGACAGTGGGACAAGTAGGCATACTTAAAACACCAACACTATAAAAAACATCGAACATAAAGAAACTCACTTTTTCATAACGTTTGATTCCAGCTTTATTGTTTTTACAATGCCTTTTAATTCACGAACTGCTATTATCTGCGAGTTGTTTACTGGGATGATCTGACTCTTTTCTAACTCTTTGTTAAACGCCACCCGAGCTTCTTTACCTCTTGCTAATACTTCTCTTGGAACTGCGACGCCTAATTCAGAAAAAATCTCTAATATTGATTTTTGATCCAAATTTTATAATAATAATAATAATAATAATAATAATAATTATTATTATTATTATTATTATACTTATTATTATTATTACTATTATTATTATTATTGTCATATTATTATAATTATTATTATTATTATTATTATTATTATTATTATTATTATTAATTAAACAGGGACACTGGATCACATGAACTTTCTCACCTTTATGATAACCTATTGATTCCCAGAACATCTGTGCGGGGCGCAGGTCTAAGACCAAGAAAACTAACCTACCGATTGAGGGAGTTCTACACCGCGTATATAGCGGTGTTGACCAACATTAGAATCAATGCTTGAGAAAGGATAGCCGAAACAGTGCATCTGAAACGTTGCAGGTTTAAAGTAACATGTTTCTATAGGTTAAATAAAAGAAAATCATCATCATTATCATCATCATTATTATTATTACTAGAGGATGCGCTCGCTTCGCTCGCCTTCCCTCTATATGTGAACGTCGCGATTAGTCTCGTTAATAAAAGAACAATATGACCACTTAACGAAGATAGGTTTAATGTTGCCTGTTATCTCGCTTAGTTATTTACCTTAAGTAATGTCAGAAATTCAGTAGTAAGATTATGTTTTGTGTTACAAAGCCTGCTTCATAAACGTTTACAAATAACGTTGAGTTCAGGTACAGGATTTGAAGTTTCATATCATTTTTGGTCCACGCGCAAAGCGCTGACCCAGATACTCAGTGCTGTTCATGTTCTTGTTCTTGTTACCAAAACTTTAAAAGCGTCCAGCGTCATCAGTTTCGGACGGACGTGCATGAAATTTTGTGTACATAAACTAAAGGAGATTTCCAACAAACATGCATCACACTTTTTTAAAGTTTGTCTCCAGGGTTCCCCCTACACCTACAAAACAAAACAGGGGTTTCCGACTTTAAAAGCGTCAAGTTTTTTCCGGACGTGCAGGACATTTTTTACCCATAAACTGGAGGTGATTTCCAACAAACATTCATCGCCCTTTTCTTAAGTTAGACCCCAGGGTTCCCTTACATCTACAAAACAAAATATGGGTCTTAAACTTTACAGGCGTCCAGCGTCGCCCGATTTTACTGCCATTTGCCACTACCGAATTGTACACGTCGCATTAATAAGTTAGCTGATGAGCGGTCGCTCTTGTTCATGAAAAAAATATTTAGAAAATACTAAATGAGATGAGAAATACTAAATGAGATGAGACAACATTTTTCAGTTGCAGCTAAAGCAAAGTTTTACTGGAACTCAGAAAAATCGAAAACCGACGGTGCTTAAAAAAAATCGACTGTGTTGGTTAACGAATGTGTTTGAGAAATTTGAAAGTTGCCCTGTGGCGGTCCCTATAAAATGTGAAAGTACGTATGTTTAATGTTGCTATTTTGCAGGGGTGGCGCCCGGATTTGCCCGACGGAGAAGCCGATGTTCTCGACGGTGTGGGGGCGATTCCTCCGACGGAAAAGTGTCGGGCGTCGGTCAAAATCTCTCGAAAGCGTTCCAGGGCGAAGCCCTAGAAAACCCAAGAATATAACTCTTGGGTTTAAAAAGCTTATTTAATGGAATTAGAGTTTACTAATATGTAGAAAATACATATACATTTTTTTTCTCCCTGACGAATTGTGGTTTTCTTCCCGACGGAAGGGCTGGCCCTCAATTAAGCTGAAATATAAATTATATTCACTTCATAAGGTGGGGGAATTCGGTGATGTATGAGGTTACAGTTCTTTAAACTGGTATGTTTCGTATCCCAGATATTTTTTGATATCCTCGATTTTTTTTTATTTTACCTTTTATTATTATTATTATTATTATTATTATTATTATTATTATTATTATTATTATTATTATCATTATTATTATTATCATTATTATTATTATTATTATTATTATTATTATCATTGTCATATTATTATTATTATTATTATTATTATTATTATTATTATTATTATTATTATTATTATTATTATTATTATTATTATTATTGGCTTTTCCCAGCAGTACTAGAAAAAGCCATTGTTTTTTTCAGATTTGTTTTTCTTTTTCCTTGCATATATTTTCCCTATCTTTGTGCACTGTTTTTTCCTGGCCGTCACTTTGGTCACTTCCCATGCTTAGAACTTTTTCGTGCTTTGCCGAAGCATAGGCCATATATAAAACATGTGCCCCTCCCAATATTTCGAAAACGGATCAACTAATCTGAATAAAACATTTGGAAAGAGTTTAACCAAGTTAAAAGGAAGATAGTATTATGTGTTGGCGACGAATCAGTCAAGGGTGTACATTCGAGGGTCATTCAAATTTTTGAGATCCCAGACGTAAATATCTATAAAAAGTTTTCAATTGGTGTAAATGTAACTTTCTATAATAGTTTGTAAAGGTCCAGTAAAGAAATGACTGAGTTGTTAGTTGTTGTGATGATCCGGCGTAGGGTGTGAATATGAGGAACATTTAAGGAAAATGACCTAGACCACATATTTCAAAAACGGGTCAACTGATCTATATAAAACTTTCGAAAAGTTTAACCGAAGTTGCAATGAAGATATTATGTGAAGGGGACGATCGAGGTTAGATTGTAGATTTGAGGGTCATTTAAATTGCTTACGTCCCAGTTATAGACAAAAATTACACTTTGCAAAATAGTTTTTCATGTTGAAATTGAAAAATGATCCAATTTTGGTAACGATCCGAAGTAGGGTGTGAATATGGGGACAATTTAAAGATCTTTTGTTGACAGTTGATTAAATCATTTAAACGCATTTCGCGTTTTCTAAAGCGCTTAAGCCAGTAACAGCTAGGTTAAACTCAAAACTACTGTGGTATGCATGAACAATTTTTGCTTTCAGTCATTGAATCGTTATGAACTGAAAATGCACTTTCCTATGCAAGGTCGACCCATATAGCGCGCAATGGTTATGAGTTACGATGTACCTCGCTATTACCATTGCAGCCATAGCTCAAATTCAAACTTGGTTTTCTTTATTTTTTTAAATATTTTTTTTCCCACTTTATTAAAATTATATTGCTTGTATACCTTTTAACGACTTTTCTTTTTGTTGCAATTTCAACTTCATTTCTCATTAAAGCAGTGGAGAAAAGGCCTATGTTCTGTTGTTGAATCAGACATAGTAAGTCTAATTATTATTATCATTATTATTATTATTATTATTATTATTATTATTATTATTATCTCCGCCAGGAGAGACAGGTTTTCGTTTCGTGTGTTTGTGTAGGTGTGTGTGTGTGTGTGTGTGTGTGTGTAACGCTTTTGCTGTTTCAGTTTTTTTCTTGTGTACAAAATATCTCAAAAACGGCTGCATATATGTAAATTCCAGTTAAAAGGATTGTTAGGTATGACCCAAGGATGAGGTGATTACATTTTGGTGATTGTCCGGATTAGGGTGTGGATGTGAGAACTATTTAAAGGAATTTGTCCTAGACAAGATATCTCAAAACTAATCAACTGACATAAATGAAACTTTTCTGGAAGTTTAAAGAAGTTACAAGGAATAAATTATCAAGCGCTGGTCGCGATCCAAATTAGGGGGTGAACTTGAGGATCATTTAAATTTTTAAGGTCATGTGTGTTTCTTGTGTACAAAAAGGCCAGTTAAAGGGATTGTTTGGTAATACCCAAGGATGAGGTGATTAAATGTTGGTGACCAACCGGCGTAGGGTGTGCATATGAGTACCGCTCAAAGGAAAACGCCCCAGACCAGATTTAAAAAAAAATAAATTACATGATTGAAACCTTCGTGAAGGGTTTAACCAAGTTACAATGAAGGAATTGTGAAGTGCTGGTGACGATACAAATACGGGGGTGCATGTGAGGGCCATTTGGACCCAGACCTATATCTCTTGATTGGATCAATGGTTAAAAATGAAGCTTTCCATAATAGTTTGTCATATTTTAATAAAGAAGTGTTTAAATTTTGGTCACGGTCCGACGTATGATGTGGATATAAGGACCATTAAAAAAAAGGTTTACCGTATTACCCACTGAAACAATAGGTATATGATGAATTAGTTCAATTACAGTAAATGTGTACAGCGTTCTATATGTACTAACTTCACTTTTTTTCCGAGCTTACTGGGAATACTTTTAATGCATCTTTACATATTAACATATGACGATAAAAATCAAATCCACATATTTCTATTTCAATAATATTTCCATTTTAACACCTAATACTATACAGACTAAAACCTGCTCGTATGTTAAGTCAGAACATGTAAGGAATTGGCAGTTCGAAAAATGAAGTGATTACATTTTGGTGTCGATAGATGGATCCTTCAAAGCAAAACGTCGCAGATCAGATATATCAAAAATTAATAAACTCATCTAAAATAAGTCTATGCATTACAGTGCAGTAACACCAGTAATACTCTGGACTAGCATTGTTTTAGTTACCATATGAGAGTTTCCTGTGTTAGGAACCTAATTTACTATACTATACTTCTTTATAAAACATAACTTGTACTTTATAATAAGAGAAATCTGTATATTATCGTCCTCAGTAAATCTAGTTATTATTATTATTATTATCATCATCATCATCATCATCATCATTATAATAATAATAATAATAATAATAATATTATTATTATTATTATTATTATTATTATAGTGTTACATTTTATAATAATAATAATAATAATAATAATAATAATAATAATAATAATAATAATAATAATAATAATAATAATAATAATAATAATATTATTATTATTATTATTATTATTATTATTGTGTTACATTTTCTGTATATTTTTAACGCTTAAATGGTTTATTCTTAGGTAAAGTTTGTCCCCATAACTCGCAACTTTATTGTTGTGAATTCAATGGTGTGTCTGCAATCTTGAAATCGGTGTGCTGATGGAGAGGGAGGTGGAGCGGGAACAGGGGAATTGGCTCGATGATCAGTTGAGGGGCGCTAATAAAATAAGGTGATATTTTAGGCGACTTGGGGGCGGGCCAGTAATTTTTGGAGGTGCGTGCACCGCCCCCCCCCCCCTCCACCTTCGCAGCCTCATGCACCACTGTGTTAATTGCGTATAGGCCTGTTCAGTGAATACCTAGCAGCTGAAAAGAGGCAATGAGTAGCTACATATTCACATCATTCTACTCTGAACCATAGCGTCGGGGTTCTGTAAAGTGCACAAAAGCAAAAATTTAAGCTACACTAGACCTCTATTTTAAGTCATTATCAGACTTGGTTCAACCAACCGTTACCTGGGCGAGGAGCACCTTGAACTAGTGCCGATTAAAGGCTGTAGTGCTGCTGCTCCCTTGCCTTCCTTTCAGCTAGACTCACCGATTATATTCAACTCGCTAATTAGATTCACTAGTATGTTGTTTGATAACTTAGCTGATTCTATGTTTTGTTTTATATTAAAACAATATATATCTAATCCAATCCATTCCAATCTATTCCAACCGTTTGATTCACAGAAATATCAAACTAGAATCTGAATTCTTACTGTACAAGATTTGTAAGATCTCTTCTTTCTGTTTCTTTGTACTGTCATACTCATCACACTTATTCTGCACATACACGTTGGACTAGGGTTCTCTACTATCCCAAATCGCTTCTTTAACCCCTCTTTCCTCGCCACCTCATGAAATGTACGCTAAATACTATCATAAGATTTCTAATTTATTTGAAATTGTAACAGGCCTATTTCTTTATCTTGTTGTCGTTGTCGTCGACGTTGTCGCTGTTGTAGTAAATTGTTTGTTACCACATATTTGTTGTAAGCTAGGTAAGTCTGATTGGTTTCAAACTCCTACTTGCCAATGTAATGTAATATAGCATTAATTGTGATAAAACTTATACCGTACCTCGGTTTGCCAATTGACACGTTTTTGTGAGTTTTCCAATACGTGACGCAGTGCGTCTACGTACCCATAGAAAGCCAAGTAATGTAAAATACTTCTACCAGCCTACATGAAGTAAACAAGATATATAAAAGAGATAACTATTCAAACAAAACATAAAACAATGAGTAATACAGTATGTTTATCTTTATTATATTATAATCATTTTTATTTAAAATTATTACTATTATGTTTTTATAATGTTTATTGAATTAATATTAATAGGCCTAATTGAAAACTAATTTTAATGTTGTCGATTTCATTGATTACAATCAGTATTAAGTTGTTCCAATAACATATTTTTATAAATATATAGGCAACTTCAATCCTCTGTTTCTGAAATTCACAAGATTAGCAAGATTCCTGTGGTTTTTATATATACTTTTAGTAATATACATCACAGGAGTATTAAAAAAGATGACACACAATACAGATACAGATAAACTTAATAATCATTCACATTGTGCTTGAGATACAGTTGCTATTAAATAGCTATATTTCGGTACTGGCATATAAACATTGCTGTTTCCATACAGAATAAATAGAATTCCAATTTTCGTATATTACAGAAATTAATTTTTACGTTTTAAAGTATTTTATAAGATTTTTAATCTTATTTTAATTTCTGTTCTGCGTGTCGTACTGGTCTGCTTCATAATTACCAATAACCTAGCATATCTTGTCATTTTAAAGTTAACTGAAAGCCTATGACGGTAACATATGTAATATGGAATCACTTTACATAAAGTAAAGAAAAGATACCCTTGAGGTAAAATTATTAAAGACATGCAATTTCAAAATCTAAGTTTTCAATTTCTGAATACAAACATACCGACGCAAGTGTATAAATGTAATGCGTGCACAGGATTTTGATTTGATTTGATTTGATTTATTTGCATCTCATAAAAAATACAATAATTAAAACGATTCACAATGTAAAAACATAACATTCATTAGTAAAAGTTACCTAAAAAATAAACAAAAGGCCAATACTATAGCCCAAGTTAGATTGATGGAAGGAATTGATGGAATTAATTCAAGGAGATGCAAGGGTAGCCCCAAAAAAGTCCTGTAAAGGTATTATTTCCATTGAGGAAAGAAATTTTAAGCCAAATTAGAAACAAAAAAGAAAAACTAAGTGAGGGGCAACTTTTATCTCTTTAGGTAACGAATTCCAATCCTTGATTGCTTTATAACAGAAGGTGTTTTGAGCAACTGATGAGAGTGTCGGCACCCTAAAAATTAAGGTCGCTTCCCCTCGTACTATACTTATGTGTAATACGGTGAAAATTACGGAGAGATAGGGTGGAGAGCAATTATTAAATATTTTGAAAACATGACAGACCCTTAAAAACAGGCTTGTATTAATTAGAGATATGCGAGCGTTTTTTAATAATTTTTTAGTTTAACTTAACAATCTTCTTAAGGACATTTATTGAAATTATAACCGTTAAACTTATAACGCTTAATTTTACTTACCTTCTCCAAATTTACGTCATTAATAACTTCTTCTTTTGCAAATTCCAAAATTTCTAATATGAGATTTTGTGGTGCTTTGGCCAGTACTAACGTATGTAATGACGCCACGCCAAGCTACGAAAACAAACCGAATGCAAATTGCTGTGATATGCCGACTACACAGACAATAAATCATAATGTTACATAATAGACATTGACTAATAATTTCAATAAGTACTAATGTATTATGATATTTTAAGGATTGTTGGAAAATGTGAAGAAACTTTTCTTTGCATTTAGCTAGGAGTTATTTTTTGCACTAATATAAAATGATTTCAAAATTATAAAAAAAAGGCGTTGGGTTGTGTTAGAATACACATGTTGAGCATAATCAAAGAATTACAGTCCTAGTAAGCCAAATAGGCTACGTACACTAGGCAAGGCATGGCTGTTGAAGTAAATGCCACAATTATACTCACCAATAAAATGTTGTTATCAGACACGTGCCCCTCTCCTCGGTTTGCAATTACAATTTTAAAAATTCATTGCATATCAGTGCTACTCACTATTCTGAATCTGTTGTGCCCCTTCCCCCATTTAGAAAATTCTGGATCCGCCCCTAGTTATTACCTAATTAATACTATGGTGCATACAGTACATAGTGATTAACATGTAGCAAAATTACATTGGTCAATTCCTCTCAAATGAAAAGTTAAGTTAGGTAATAACAACATTTCATTGGTGAATTCCACTGTCCAATTATGTTGTTTATATACACTTTTGGCATTTATGTACAGTATGTACGTTAATGTAGGGATTGGTATACATACATATATATGTGTGTGTGTGTGGGAAAAGATACCCTTGAGGTAAAATTATTAAAGACATGCAATTTCAAAATCTAAGTTTTCAATTTCTGAATACAAACATACCGACGCAAGTGTATAAATGTAATGCGTGCACAGGAATATATATATATATATATATTTATTTATTTATTTATTTATAGGAATACAGAGGCCCGTACAATATCATTAGGGAAAGACGAGAGTAGCTGGGCATTACATAATGACCACTTGTCTCTTCCTTTCATACAACTTGAAATCTCAAAATTAGTAGTCAATGTTCAAGCTACGTCATAGCTTATAGGTAGCAGCTATTATATCCGAGGATAAGCAAAAGCATAAAAACCAGTAAGGTGTATTTCTCTAGAAATATGTTGTGATTATCATTTAAATATATTTCGTTAAGAAAAACCTTTCAGTAGTTAGTACATACATATTTGTCATTGACGAGTTGTGGCCTGCTTCTGATAGTGCGTCGTACGTCATCCCATCTCATATTACGTATAGAGTTGTTTAAGTCACCACTACAATAATAAATATAAACTACACTTACTCTGTCTGTAAGACAGAACAGGAATTTTAATAATATTAAATGATTTCAAAATTATAAAGTAAACAAAATGAAGTAAATCATAACGAAAAGAATGAAGTAAAAAAATAAATGAAAACAACTCGACCTCACTGAGGCAAGAACAAAGGATGCAATGGCAATGGCAGTAGTAATGCTGATATTAGGTAGCAGTCATAGATATAAAAAGTTCTTACCATCGCACCATAGCCGGACCATGTGAAGGTATGTAGGTCAGTCGGCTACCTTACGTAAATTGTTTATGTTTTTCACAGTAATTTTGCGTTTAACCTAGCTAGCAGTTAGTGGTATGACACTCGATAACTTGGTATTCCTTTCCCGTAGGGCGCACTTTTCCAAACAATTTCGTCGATAGCCCGAGTCCTTTATTAGAGCACTCTTTCTACCGTTATTTGAATACAATATTATACTAAAAGTTACAGTGCTCTGTAAGTATTGATTCTACTGTGTGCACTGTATATAGTACTCGAGTAAGGAATAGAGTCCATCTGTTTGAAGTGCTAATATTTTGCTACAGTATATTGAGAAATCGAGAAGCATATTTTGTTACTATTTGTGATTAATTAAAAAGGTCTACATAAGTCGCTACGGTTGTGATTAATTAAAAAGGTCTACATAAGTCGCTACGGTTGATAAGTATTCTATTTGACGACTGCAATTCTCACGATAATACATCGAATAGTCGTACAATAGGCTACACGCCATTTATTGCTGTCATGATGAAACACAATTACCATAAATAAGTTTCGTAAATTACCAGGATTGTGTCTGTAAGTTTGGTGAGCATGCTTATCATTACCTGTACATATCATTACATAATAAAAACAAAATCATTTGACAGTTAAATATTGTGTCAAATGATTGTGGTACACCAAGTATATCTAAAAAGAAATTTGTTTTGTTGGAAATTTGAACACTTTGGAATTGTGCAATTCTCTTGATGAGGCTCTACTGCTATAAAAGACACACATCAACTATTAAACCCAGACGCTACCACTATCATGGTTGTTCGACGCAAAATCTCTCCTAACATCCAAAGAATAGTACTTTCTAATTACCAAAAGAACGCTCACACCCAGCTAGCGCAATACTGATTTCGAAAAATCTCACTATACCTTTGAAATATTGCGCTCAAAAAGTAGATAATCTCGAAGATTGGATGACAGATAATTCTAAACATTTCCATCACCTAATAAAATTAACACCGTACAGCAATGTGCATTGAACCATGGTGGACCATTAACTATTTTGAAAATTAAAAAGTTATTATTTTTTACAATTATTTCTATTCTGTGCCCTGATCTTCCTCACTATCTCCCAGCCCTCTCCATTTAATTTTGACAGTAAAATTTAAGCATTTGTAAAAACGAGTGCTTCTCTGTGGCGTTAGAGATGGTTTCCAATCGTTCTCTGTCTGGAAGAAGGTTAATGTTTGTCCTATTTTATGGTTGGTGTGTGAAAAGAAGCAAGGTTTAAATTATCACTTGATTTCCCCACCGCTGCTACCACTTGGCGAACTTAAAATCAGGGTCGGGAGGAAAAACAATTTTTGATATGTTGTAGAAATGTAGAAATGTATAAAATGTTTATAAGACAGAAAAAAGTTGTTTGACGTAAAACTGGAGAACGGTTAAGGAGATACAGATTTTTTGATATTTAAAAGGAACACTGCTTATAAAAATACATTTTGATTGTCCTACAAATAATACAGGACTCTCTGTTCCGCCAAGGTCTGTCCTGTGTTTAATTCTGATCAATGTGTTTCGTTAATATATGAAGTCGATGAAATATATGATATAATATGATAGACCTATGTGATATGATGTATGATATGATATGATGATATGATATGATATATGATATTATGTATAATATATGATATAATATGATAAATTATGATATGATGTGATATGATTATGATATGATATATGATATGATGATATATCATACGTTTATGATAGGATATGATAGGATATGATATGATAGATTATAATTATATGTTTTGATATATGTTATGATATATGATGTGATATATATGATAGGATATGATATATTATAATATAATATATAATATATAAAAAGCCGTGAAATGTTTACATAGGAAAGCAAGAATAACATCGTTGTACTTACGTAGTGTGTTGAACTGAAATCATCATTTTTTTTTTGCTCATTACGTCTGCTGCATGCGCAGTAGTGACGAATAAATGTACTTGTACGTCTGTACATTATATGATAGCAATTACTTCCCACGATCGATTAAAAATAAGTGCAATAATAGCATTCATGTTGGAACACAATGAAAAATATGATTGGTTGGGAAATTTCGTAAACGCCAGAATTTTTACAATAATGTTAACACTACCTAGATATCTTCTTGGTGTATTACCGTAAGCATTTAGTAAAATTACTAGCAAACCTTCAAAGAAAATACTATTAACATATTACTTTTATGTTGATTTACGAGGTAATTGTTTTTTTTTTTTATGAGGCTTGATCATACATGCTTCTACATGTAAGTAAGTTTTAAGTATATTTATTCAATGTAATTAAAAACTATCATGGCAACATATATTTAATAATTAGAATACACGTTTAGGTAAATGAGAGAGACCAAATCTGTGTATAAAATAGTCATTATATATATGAAATGATATATAATATATGATATGATTATGATATAATATAAGACGACCAGAAGCGAATCCAGCCTGTCAGAAAAGGTGGGGGGGGGGCGCAGTCTGCCAGCGAAGCGAGCAGCCTTAGGCTGGGGGCCAGGGGGACGCCTAGGGCCCCCGGCGAGGTCCAGGGGCAGAGCCCCTGGTGGGGGTGAAAGGGGGCGAAGCCCCGTTGAAGCCCAGCACATTTGAGGAATATGAGTTTGCATTAAGTCAATTTTGACTATCTAGCGTAGTAGTTTTCAGTAACAAATAAAAAAAAAAATAGGTGCATGTCTTTTAAAAGACATTTTAATATTCAGGGTAGCCGCAATATGCAACTATAAAATGTGTCATTAAAATAATAACTCATCTACTCACAGCTGTGAAAATTCAAGGTTTTTCCCTCTTGAAAACGGTCAGGTAAATTTTTCTCATGTCTTATTTTGTGTGTGTTTACATACATAAACAAATTGAGTAATTGCATACGATTTTTTCCATGAATCAATAAATTCCAAAAAAAGGGGGGTCCGGGGTTCTCCCCCTGGAAAATTTTGATTCTTAGAAGGCGGGAAATAAGTGTTATTTAATTACTTCTTATTTCTTCAAAATTCAATTTTGAATCAATGAATTCCGAAGAAATGGGGTGTCCGGGTTACCCCGGAAATATTTCGATTTCTAGAATGCGGGAAATGAGCTTTCCTGACTTCTGAAATGTCTTTTAAAGTGAATTTTTAAGTTCTTCAAAATTTAAGGCTTTTCCCTATTGAAAACGGTCAGGTAAATTTTTCTCATGTCTTATTTTATGTGTGTATACATACATAAATAAATGAGTAGTTGCACGCCTTTTCTTTTTTCCATGAATCGATAAATCCCAAAAAGAAAGGGTGGTCCCGGGGATTATCCCCTGGGAGAATTTTGATTCCTAGATGGCAGGAAATAAGCTTTCCCGACACTGGAAGTGTGTTTTAATGACGTTCTTCAAGATTCTAATTTTCTTATTGTAAGATAAACAGCTCACGGGTTCTGAAAAGTTAAATCTAGAATTTTTTTTCTTTTTTTTTTTGTTGGCCAAGGGAGGGGTCAGGACCCATTACCCCCTCCCCCAGATCCGCCAATGTGAATCGCGAGAAAATTTAACTCGGTTGGGGACTGGATAAACATTCTCTTTCCCATCCTTCACCTCTTTTTTTTGTTGGCCAAGGGCTGTCTTTGTTGGCCAAGGGAGGGGTCAGGACCCATTACCCCCTCCCCCAGATCCGCCAATGTGAATCGCGAGAAAATTTAACTCGGTTGGGGAATGGATAAACATTCTCTTTCCCATCTTTCACCTCCTCCCCTCTTTCATTTCTTGCATTTATTTCCAATCATACAAAAATCTCCAGACATTATATATTTTTTTGCCAAAAAGTGGGGGGGGGGAGGGGGAGGGGCCGGTTCCGCCGGCCCGTTAAACACTGTGGGTGAATGTTATTTGCAAAAGAAATAGGGGGAGGAGTGTACGCCCCTTACATCTAGACCTCATTCTAATATTTAACAAAGGGCCCAGAAATCAATTAAGCCAATCAGCTGTTGAATGTATAGGTCTCAAGTCACTCACCCCAATGGCAATAAATCGTGCTTTATTTAGGCTAGCTAGGCTAGGGTAGGCCTAGCCTAGCCTAGATGAGACCCTAACGCCCCGAAAGCCTAGATGGACGAAAGAATGTAATTTTGGGGGTTTGAATCTAGATGTTGCTTATAGCCGTAATAATGAAGCAGGGGTTGCGCAAGGATTTTCCCGATGTGGGGCCGAGGTCCCCAACCGGGGGGCGCTTCCCCGAAGAGGGGTCTGATTTCCCAGACGAACACAAAGTGGGTGTGGTCGAGCTTCGAAAGTGGTCCTGGGGACGAAGCCTCCAAAAAGTATGACTATTTAGGGGTTTCAAATTTAATCCATTTTAGAGGTTACTAATATGTAAAAAATACATATAACTTTTTTTCTCCCCGACGAATTGTGCTTTTTCTCCCCTGACGGAAGTGCTTTTTTATAATAATAATAATAATAATAATAATAATAATAATAATAATAATAATAATAATAATAATCTTTATTTCTTTCAAGACATTTATTAACTTCCATAGAACACAAAACAATGTAATACAATAATAAGGATTTTTTTTTTTAAACGTAAACTATGGAAGAAGGCATGATCCTGAGAAGACAATGATCTTGTGATGGGCATGCCTGAAAAATTAAAAAAAAATATATATAATAATAATAATGATAATAATAATAATA